AATCATACTTAGTCCGTAGACTATCTTATGATTACGCTGCATGCAAGGCTAGTAAGGCGCCCAAAACCCCACGCGCGCAAGACGGCGCAAGGGTGGCGCAAGAAAGTACTAATGCTGGAGAACCGCCACTAGAATTTAGAACAACATCCACATGACATAGACCATAGCTGAGGTCGAGGTGTAGGATCCGTTGGAAGGGTCCTAGCTTCGCAATGTTTGCCGATATGACAAAGAGCAACACGTCTTAGAGCGGAGCCATGGGCAACAAGCGTGCTGACCGCGATTTTTATGCGGTGCTCGAGATTAGCAAGGAGCCTGGGAGTTTGGCTTTGAGGGCTAGCATGAGGAAATTTACCTTTGCTTCTGGTTGCGAGAGTATTTGTAGATGGACAGTTCAGCCTTGGAAGTCTTGCTGGCACACGCAAATCATCAGCAGGACGCGAGCTTCGAAGAGGTTCGAAAGGCATCTTGCGCAAAGGTTTTGCAGTGACACCCTCCAGCCCAAGTGGGCGCGCAAATCCTGCAGACCTTGCCAAGAAGCGTGTGGTGCAAGTAGACCTAGCCAAAGCAGGTGTAGTTCCCCACTCTCGCTGCCGTGTCCCCTCGCCCTGGTGACGCATCTTCAACACAGCTTCCCTGCCCAACCACCGACGGTTTGAGAATGTTCCTCCAGTGCACGACTCCGGTGTCCCTTGAGTGCCCTGAATTGCCCTCTCATACAGTGTCCCTATGTTTACGAGCTGGAATTGACAGGCATGTCTGACAAAATGTCAGGGTGACGATGCTCGAAGCAAAAAGCATTTCTGCCTTCACATTGCTCCCTGCAAAGTGCAAGGCAGAGAATCCCACTGTCGTGTAAGCAGCTAAGCATTGCAGCCGCCAGCCGACCACGCATGAAAGACATCACAACATCAGATACGGCACAAAGCGATAAAGGTTCTCAATGTAGAACATGTTAGCACAAAGACACCGATGGCGAGGCCTACTTGAAAGCAGCCCTCCGGTGGCACCCAGATAAGAACCCGGATGAAAAAGACTTCGCCGCGTCTGGGCTGCAGCCTGGCAAGCATTAGTACCAACTGTTCCGCAGCCAGTAGCCGAGGAAACTATGTTCAAGCGGGTGGCCCAGGCCTACAAGGCAGGGTCACAATGCCCAGACTGTGACGGTCGCTTGCCCCTAATGCCCGTACAAAGCGTGACAGAGGGCACGCTGCAAACCTTCCAGCCATACTGAATGATGATCCTGCTGAAGTCAAAGTTTGATCAGTGCCTTTCTGCACCGCAGAAGCCATCATGTTCCGGATGTTGCTGATGATGCCAGCAGGCTCCTGGACTAAACTACAAAACTTCCACAACACTTTTGGAAACCCTTGATTGTTCACTTCAGCTGCCCTGCTATGAGCAGCAGGCAATAAGCTTCTTGCTGGGAGGTTTTGAGTGATGACCTCCTGCGCGCACAGTACAACACCGCTGGTGAGGGTGGTCTTGGACAAGACTGGTGGCCAGATGATCCGGATGCAAGCCGCTTAATTGCACTCCACAGCCTCAAGCTCACATCTCTTGCACAAGACGTGTGTTAATTACCCGGCAGCAACTGTAAATGCAGTGTTTTTTGCTGCGGTGCAGTGGGACATGCTGGCCCAAGATTCTTTAGGGTTTAGGATTTAGGTTTTTCCCTGGATTCCCCTCCCAAAAAAAGTTCTCTTTTTTGTGTAGAATCTGAAAACTCACACGAAGTCCTGAGGCAGGGACATGGCCTACCAATTCTTCATCCATCGCGTGCCAGGGAAATCCCTGGCTGATGGCTTCAGTGAGGTTTGTACACCTCATGAGGCCAACGTTGCGCACAGATTGTCACCCGACCAGGCGAAGCTTCGAGAAATATTCCCTCATCTCTTTGGCTTGAAGCTAAGTTGGCTCCCATCAGGCAGTTTTGTGCGCGCCCGTGCTTTGACTGCAGGAAGTGGTCCGGTCAGGGATGCGCCCTCGACAACCCAACGCAGCTCATTATAGTTGGAGACCAAAAGGCCTGCATAATATTCTGCCCTTATGATAATACGTTTCCCGAAATCAGGCTTGTCGTGGACAACTTCGCTAAATCAACGATGAAATATAACTTAAAATCTTAATCTTGAATTAATCTGATGCCACCGTTTTCATGATACAATATAACCTCAATCTTCTATTGCTTGAAATATATAGAAAAAAATATATTCATGATATTTTCATGCGATCGTAGAAATATGATAATTCTAAGGCGAAAATTGGATCTATAAACGAAGAAGAATATTTTCATCTAAATTCATTTTTCAGAGAAATTGAATTATAATGATTCTCTCATGAATTATATAGCTTGATATTGGGGATATGAATTTTCTTTAGATTTACTATCTCATATAAAAATAGGATTCATATTTATTAAAATAATGATTTTAGTTCTGATATTCAATTTCTAGATATAATAATGATTGACATGCAGACAAATCGGAAAAGAGATTGATAAATGAAGAGATTTGAATATATTATTCTGATATATCGATATATTGATAGATTATATAGCTTATTTTATTCTGATTATTTAATGAATAAATATATATATTTCTTAGCAAATAGATAGAATATAAAAATATTAATTCCTGGAAACTTATTTATATTCATGGATAATGAATTGATAGGATGATGATTTGATATATATATATAATTTTTCGTTAATTAATAGATTGATTATCTATTATCTAGCATTCATTGAAGATTTGAAAAAAATCATTCTCTTATATCCTAAAAACCTTGTAGATAATTTGAGATTATAATATATTTTCGAAAGGTTTAATAATATTGATATTTCTATTTATGACCTTAATTTTCGAAAAATCGATAGATGATATTTCATATTTATCGATTTTCGAATCTTTAGAAAAAGTATTCGATTTCATATTATAATTTTTCAAGATATTATTTAAGAATTGATTTTAGATCAGAAAATATTCTGAAATGAGAAACCGAAATTATTGTTCAATAAGATATCCTATTAATATCTCGAAATTTCGAATTTTTATTATGATAATAAGAAATTTGAAATATAGAAATAAGATATTAGAAATTTATCTATTCTTAAGAAATTATATTCGGTTGAGATATCTTAAGATGAGATTCTCTGAAAATAGGTTTGATGCCTAAAATAATCTCTGATTGGAAATATCGAGGATTCTCGAATATCTAGAAATATTCAATAATTTCTTTATCTTTCTATCGGAAATAATAATATTTAATTATGCCCGAATATTAATTTGGAATTATCTTTTTTGATATTATTAAATTCTTTATCTTTCATCTTAAGATCGAATTTAATTGATATTCGATAAATTCGAGATATTTAGAATAATGAAATCGTTTCTAGATTTTAAAATTTTACGATTATTGAGATTTAAAATTTATGATATATTGATTTTTTTATTTGGGTCATCGATTTTGATTATTTAGATCTTGAAATAATCTTTCAAATATTTCGTTATTAGAGATCTGATATATATTATTCATATTTTATTTGATATGAATCATATTTCTTCTATATAATATTTCGATAATTCTCCATCTTCCGTCTATAAATATTTTCTAAATCGATCTTCGAATATACCTCGAATTAGTGAAAGATCGCGATTATGGAAATATATCGTTTCGAATATATTAGAAATAGTTCTTCCAAAATATTCTGGGCATGCTATTGATTGATCTTGTTACGAAGGTATTGGCTACTTCTCCTATTTTGAAAGAAATGAGCCGCTTCCGAAGACTATTCGCAGAAATTTATGCTCCGGAAATCGCGATTCTCGAAATATCTGGGATATATTTGGGAAATTGATATAAAATCATTTTTGAAAATATTTTGGATATTTCAGAAAATCGATCTCAATTGAATCTGAAATCGTTATATCTTCCATAGGTCTTTCTTATTAGAAAGCCGATTCGAAAAATTGAGCATGCCTAAATACGAAATCGCCAAAATTTCCGTATAAGTAGTTTGTTAATTAGGTTCGAGTTTGCAACAACAATGGCAATAATTGGCGGAGAGGGTCCAAGGCGGAATTGAAAGTGCGGAAGCACCAATCCCAATCGGTAGTGGTGGCGGGTTGGCAATGGCGGTTTACATAGCGGTATAGGTGGCGTGGTGCGGCGGTGTCGCGGCGGGGCGGGGCGGCGGGCGATATCGCGAGCTTCTTAATCTCGAGATTTTGCGGAATCATATTTATTTGGTTGATACTTCATATTTCGTATATGAATTATAGATATTTATTTTATAGATAATTCGGAAATATGATTTTACGATAATATCTTATCGTTGAAAGAAATTATTCATTCTATAAAATTCAATAAAAATCTTTTGCATGACGTCTACGTATTTTTTCTCGGATCGGAATTTCAACATATATCTTTTTTAAATATGATAGATTTATGAAATTGCCATCTGCCCGCAAATCATTAAAAAAAATCGAAAAAAACTAGGCCGCGCGCGCTCGAAATGGCTGCAATCATAATATTGAAATAAATACTAGAATTGATCTATTATCTATAATACCGGAAATTATTTATTTGACAAAATTTATTACGAGAAATCCGATGAATTATCAATATTTTGAAAACGTCCATGATCCGAAAGATTTAGGTCTCCGCCCCAGAATCTATCGAATCCAAAAAAGAAATAAATACTTCGAAATCTAGGAAGTCGTTGGCAACGCGATCTTTTAATCGTCTAATTTCTCATATCTAGTTCGGTCTTTCCTCCTCGGCGGCTCGGGGGGCATATTCATCTCTAGGAAATACTGAAAAAAAAATATAATCTTCCATCGCGCTCCTCCAAATAACTCCACGCACTATTTTGAGAGATTCGAATCGCGCGATCTATCTATCCAACTCATTCTCTACCCTTCAATTATCAGAAAAGCGCATAATTTTCTAGAGATAGATATAATCAAATTATAAATTCTAAAAGAGCCATGCGCTCTAATGAATAATATATTCAAATAGAAATAAATCACGTAGAAAAATTCTACGTAAGCAAAGACCGCACAATAAAGAATCTCTATATTTTTTCATCGCGCCGCGCCAAAATAGTTTGAAAACTCGAAGCTTTCAAATCTTCTAAAAATCTTTAAAAAGAAAGAATCAAAACCCTCTAGAAGTAACCGTAATGCCCATAATTTATCTTGAAATATTCACGTAATGGCTTGAGAGACCCCATCTATTCCTGAGTTATAATTAAATACGACCAATCTATGAATTCAATTTCTTTTTTGAATTTCTATTCCGTATATATATATTCCGCTATTCCGCCATATAATCAATCAAAAAAAAAATCATGAAGAAATATATTCTGAAAATAAGCTCCCCACGACCAAATATCTTTCTAATAATTTAATTCGCACAACACCCGACAAAAATCATAAAACAAATTATATATTTTTTCCTTTTTCCGAAAAATTCTTAAATCTCCGAAATTTTAAGACCCATAGAGAACTCGTAAAAAGCATTTTCATGATAAGCCAAAAAATCTAGGCCGCACGAAAGCGAAATGACCGCAAGCGGCCGCGCCATACTACGATCCAAAGAAAAATGATTATCGTTCAGCTAGAATCACAGATTGATCAATATTATCCCCGTGGGGGCAATGAGCTGTCTGCATTTCCCTTCCTGACGTCTGAGAGAAAAAAAGATCTTGATGAAACCACTGCGGAATTTTCATCGCAAGCAAGTTCAGGGTTCTTGTCGTTGCCTTGTATGTCAATTCTTTCAGCGAGGCTGGGCTCGATTATGCCTCTGTGGTCTGAAAAGCGGGAGCGAGAGCTGTATGAAAGCGCGCCAGCTGCTCAAGCGAGGCGGCTGCATCTGAACCCACAACTTTTTTAGCATACTCCTCCATGGCTGTCAGCTTGTCCAGACTTTCAATACCAGGAAAGTGAAGAATAAAATCCCCAGGCACGAGGGTGTCCAAATAGGAGTTCATTTGTTGCTGTGGTCGCTCATCACATTCAGATATAATGAATCTCCCATCGCAACACCCGCGCGAAGAGCTCCGGCACTCCTCTTCCCTGGGTTGTTCGTAAATCACCTCGAAAGCACTGAATTTATTGACAATCAAACTTTGTGTATAATGTTAAGGGGAAAAGCAAGAATCCCAATCCACACTTCCTTGGTTACCATCTCTACACACATAAGCAACACTTTGAAGAACCAGCTTCTTCCCGGAGAGTAAGTAGATCATGGCCGACTGTTCATACCACGGATCTGGCGGAGGCCAGGTTGCCCAAGTCTCCTTCCTTTTCTGAAGGCTTCTGGAAATTCAGGTGCCCTAGGGACCCTGGGGAATCTGCAAAGCATTGTGCGAGGATCATGTAAGGGCCGCCATGGGGCTTACTATCACATTGACATAATCGCGACGCTACCGCTTGGGGTGGATTTTCGACATGGGATCCAGGGTGGTACTTCGATCCGCCTTCTTGGCAAACATGAGGCTTCTGTTGCGGCGGCTTAACATCGTCAAATTGTAAAACGGGGTTCAAGAGCACATCGTATCTGAACAAGCTTCTTCGCCCTTTGCCCCGATGAATTTGCTTCACCTTGAGACTTTTGGGGATTCCAGGCAACGTAGAACTGGGCTCCTTGTGCTCTAACTCCCGCAGAACCTTCTAGTCGAAGTGAGGGTCAAACCGAAATATCTAATTCCAAACGAGCAAATTCAGAAATTGATTAGCAGGTGCCGTTGAAGACATACCGTGCGCAGAAATTCGCCCACGCGCAATCCAGCTTGATGCAACAAGAACTTATCTTCCTGCGTTGGCTATTAGAAGTAGTCAGAAGTCAAAGATCCACCGACATCCCGGCGAGTTGTTCTATATCTGGGTTAGAGGAGACATGCATTTTGTTTGAGAGCCTTTGGAACAAGATGCTTTCTTTCATGTGCCTTGTAACCCTGCACGTAGATATGATGCTAGACCCTGAATCTGAAGCTGCAGATGTTC